GGATATGAACGCTGGCATCACCCTGTTGCTTTGCCACAAAGACTGGAAGTTACTTTGGAGTTGGCTGCCCTGGCCCAGCCACATTCCTACCCTCTCTGCATCTTCTGGGCACAGCTTCTTTTCTTCCTGCATTGTTTTTCCAAGCATGAAGAGCCCCAGCCTTCCAGTGAAGCTTTTTCCCAAGTGCCCTCTCTGAATTCTGGTGTCCAGCCAGAGGCAGGTATATGCCCAGTCCTCCTGGGCCTGCTGGGTGCTAAGTGCTGGAGCTGGGTCTGTAGGAGCTTGTAAGGCAGGGTGTACAGGATAGACATCCAGACATCCAGGGGCCACGTGCATGGGGTGTGGTTTCTGCTGTGTATGGGTTAGTGGGGCAAAGAGGGGACCCAGGAGAGTAGTAGTCAGCTGTACCTTGGGGTGGGTGGGGACATTTAGGGAAGGGAAGGAACTACTCACAGTGCCACCTGGTTAGGTTAGCTCTGGAAGCCCCATGTGATGATAAATAGAAGAATATCCTCCGGTGAGGATCAAAAAGAGAGAGAAGCCTGCTGTCAGTCTGTTTCTGCTTTGCCCATTGGAGTGTCTGTGTTTTAAGACTTTCTGTCTCTGGTGTTCAGTAGTTGGACAGTGATTTGCCTGGGTGTGCTTTTCTTTAGAGTTCATGGTGTTTAATCCATGGCTTGATGTTTTTCATCAATGTAGTAAAACCTTTTCACTTGTTAATCTCTCTAACTATTGCTTCTGGAACTAGAACTACATGTGTATTAGATCGTTTGATCATGTTGTGTATGTCTCTTTTCTGTATTTTCCAGCTTTTCTTCCTCTTTGCCTCAGTCTGGACATTTTCTGCCCTATCTTACAGTTCACTTATCCTTTCTTTATCTGTGTCCTAACTATATTGAACCCATTTACTAAGTTCTTTTTTTATCCTCACCCGAGGATATTTTTCCTTTTTTTTTGTACAGATAGAGTGGGAGGGAGAGAGAGGAAGGGAGAGAGAGAGAGAAACATCGATGTGAAGGGACGCATCGAGTGGCTGCCACCCGCACGACCAACCAGGGCCGGGGACAAACTGCAACCGAAGTACGTGCCCTTAGCGGGAACCGAACCCGGGTCTCTCCGGACCGCAGGCCAACGCTCTAACCACTGAGCCAAACTGGCCAGGGCTACTGAGTTCTTAATGTTGGTTATATTTTCAGTTATAGAATTCCCATTTTACAGTTTCAGATTCTCTGCTGAAATTCTTCATCTTGCAGTTTACCTTCCTGAACTTTTGTTAATGTTAATTATTTTACATTTCATTTTTTATTGTTCCACTATCTGGATCTCCTGTGAGTGCATTTCCGTTGTCTTTTTTTTTTTTTTCCTCATGGCTTTGATTGAATCCTGGGTATTAGGTATGAAAAGTTCTAGAGATAATTTGAGGTTCTGGATAATTTTTTTTTTCTCTAGAGCAGTGATTTTCAACCTTTTTCATCTCATGGCTCACATAAACTAATTACTAAAATTCTGCGACACACCAAAAATATATTTTCTGCCAATCCGACAAAAAAAAAGGTATAATTTTGCTTCATTCACACTAGCTGACTATTGTGTTGTCTGCTGTCATTTTTAAAAAATCCGTTTTTATTGAGTTTTAGAGAGAGGAAGGGAGAGAGAGAGAGAGCAGTATAGTTGAGAAAGAAACATCAATTGGCTGCCTCCTGCACGCCCCCTACTGGGAATTTGGCCCACAACCTGGGCATGTGCCCTGACCAGGAATCGAACCAGTGACCTCTGGGTGCATGGGATGTCACTCAACCACTGAGCCACACCAGCCAGGCTATTTCATTTTTATTTGACAATCTAAGGGAAAAGAGGTCAGTGCCCCTGACTAAATAGTCAGATGCGCATGTTTTAAGACTTCTTGTGGCGCTTCAGTGCACCCCAGCACCCCAGCTGAAAACTGCTGCTCTGGAGGGGACCTAGCCAGCCCTGGCAGGCAGCTGGGCGGGGGCCCCTGACCTGCCGCTCAGGGCCTCCTCTTCCCGAGGGCAGGCCAGTGGCTGGTGATGCCAAGCTCTGTTTCAGACTGTTTCAGTTTCACCCTTCTTCTAAGGATAGGGGTCACGTGGGGGTCACAACAGAAGGTCTAGGGGTTTGCCAGGGCCCTACTTTTTGGCTGCCCTGAACACAGATTTTGTCTCTTCAGGCCCATGAGATTGCAGGAGGTTCTGCTTATCAGTAGACAAATGCTTTAAGGGGAAAGAGTTGCCCACTATCAGGCCACCCTTGAACTTCTGTCTGTGATCGCAGCCCCTCAGGTCCGTGTTGCCTTGGCACTTCTCCAAGGCCAACAAATACATTTAAAAATATATACAGGAATGGGCAAAAGTAGGATTAAGTATCCACTTCCAGTGGTGGTTGGTTAAATTACCAGTCATCATTGCCTAAAAGAGAAATCATGAGTAAGGATACGAAATAATAACAATAATAATAAGGAAACAAGTAGTATAAATAATGCAATAATAAATGAGTAATAATACAAGAATAAACTGTGTTTGGCAGACTCACAACTGTAAACCTACTTTTCCCCACCCCTGTATCTGTTGCCAGGTTTTTTACAGTTGTTTGCAGAGGCAGGAGGAGTTAAACAAACCATGGTCCTGCGGAGCCCAGTGCCCTTTGGTGGTGATAGGCAGGGGTGTGGGGGCAGTTGGGAGAGCTCTTAGTGAACCAGGAAAGCCTGGAACCTGGCCGGACAGGCCCAACACCCAGCACAGCCTCCTTGTTTCCAGATGTGGGACAGGCCCACAGTGGGACGACCCAGGTGCTCCTGGTCGCTTGAGCAGTGCTCAGTTCTAGGGAGCAGGGGACGGTGGGCAGGGCTGCTGGGGTGCTGTGTGGCTTTCCGGTTGCTCCGGTGTCTCCCTGCCTCCTTCTGTGTTCCCTGCTGTGTCCTCCCTCAGTCCATTTGCTCTGCTGAAGCTGGGCAGGTGTAGGGGCTTGGGCACTTGCTGCCATGAGTCCTGGGTACCGTTCCCACCAGACTCTTCATACTGAGTTCCCACGGATCCCTGGAGCCAGTTTAAGAGTGAGTTTTTTCTCACTAATCCCTGCAGTTTTCTCCCACGCCCAGTTTCTCTTCCACTTTTCTCCCCACCCTGTTGTGAAGGAAAGTCAGTGCACAGGCCACACCCCACTGCGACCTGAGCAGCCGCTCACCTGAGCCTGAGGCGGGCATGAGGGGCGGGGGCGCAGGGTGGGTGTCCCTGCTTCTCAAAGTGGGCAGCAGGCTTCCTCCATGGGCCATGCTGGTACTACCCCCTGGGCACAAAGGTTCAGCCTAGGCCTGGGGCTGTGGCCTCAGGGGCCCTGGCAGAGGGGACAGGGCAGGTGGTGCTGGTGAATAGGGGACTGAACTTGACATCAGGAAGTCCCCAAGTCCAGACCGCTGCCACTTGCTGGCTGTTTTGTCATAGGCACCTGCCACCTCCCTCTGGAAGGCGTGTCTGCCAGGGTGTGGGAGGCAGCCGTGCTCGGTGACCTGGCACGGGGGGTGGGGGGGTAGGTGAGGTGGTGGGAGACCTGCTGGAAAACGCCCCGTCCTGGGGGCTCGGGACTTCCGAGTGGCAGCGTCCTCAAAGGGGCTCAGAAGAGGTGTGAGAGGGACAAGGACCACACTGCAATCTCCCCTGGTTGGCGGTGGGGGCACTTCTACCTCTCCCAGGGCCTAGGCAGGGTGGGGACCTTTTTCCTGCCATTTGGATCTTTATAACATTCGCGGGCCATACAATATTATCAATTTAAAAACTAGCCTGCTAGCCCGCTGGTGTGGCTCAGTGGTTAGGCATCAACCCATGTACCAGGAGGTCGCCAGTTCGATTCCTGGTCAGGGCGCATGCCCAGGTTGTGGGCCCGATCCCCAGTGGGGGGCATGCAGGAGGCAGCTAGTCGATGTTCTCTCTCATTGATGTTTCTCTCTCTCTAAAATCAATACAGAAAAAAAAATATTATAAAAATAAAAATTAGCCTGCTATATTTGGTCAGGCTTATTGGTGAGACGTGTGTTGTTAGCTGGGATCGATTTCACGGGCCTTAAGTGGCCCGCAGGCCCGATGTTCCCCACCCTGGCCTAAATGGCCCGGCCCAGTGGCTCTGTCTCGTTATCAAGCACAGCCCCCAGGAGCCCTCTGCCTGCTGTGGATTCTCCAGGAGCCTGCTCCCTCGGGCAAGCCTCTGTGTGGGGCGGAGGAGCCATGAGGTGCTGGGCCAGGGAGGCCCCGGGAGTGCTTGGCGCACCCAGCCTGCCCGAGGAGATTCAGCTGAGAGGACAGTGACACCATGGCGCTGGCAGTTCAGTTCCAGTGTGGGGTTCTACTCCCCGTTCCCAGAGGTCTTAGTGTCTGCCCTGGTGCTCGTGGCCGTCCAGGTGGACCGAGGCTGTCCCAGCCTTGCCCACTGTCATGCCTGTTCCTCAGCCCTTGCCGGCCACTCCCAGCACGCACAGACCCTTGCCACCAGCAGTTGGACTGTGTCGCAGTGGCCCCGGGGCACGGATGCTCTGAGAAGGGGCCATGTTTGGGAAACCTGTGGGTGACCACTAGCTTTGTCTCTTAGGAGTAACTCAGCCAGGAGCTTTGTTGTGTGACCTTATAAAAATAGGACTCTCTCTGGCCCTCATTCCCTTAACTGGCGAAGGAAGATAGTGCAGGGAAGACATACGGCGAATGCTGCTCGGGCACCTCTGGCCCCTGCTCCAGACGAGAGCCTCCAGCATTGGCAGGGCCTTGGACAGCAGCCCGCCCTGCAGCTGAAAGGCAGCTGAGGGGGCTGAGGCTGGGGGGACCGGCCCCCACTGATGCTCCTGTGCCTGTGTTCCCTCTTCACCAGGCCAGGAGAGGAGGAAAGTTGGGAAGTAAGCAGCTTGTGTGGCTTTGTCACAGTCTGACCTGCACGTGTCCGTGGTGACCAAGCCTGTGTCCCACATTCACTACCATCTCTGCTTGTTCTCACTTTTGTAGGGAACTCAGGCTGCGGAACTACATCCCCGAGGATGAGGACCTGAAGAGGAGGAGGGTGCCCCAGGCCAAACCAGTTGCCGGTAGGTGGGCTGAGTCTCTGCATTTCTGCTGTGGTGCTGTCAGTTGCCTCCACCTTGAAAGGTGTTGTCCTCGCTTATAGAGTAACTGGTAAAACCAGGGCTGGAAACTGGGCCTCTAGGACCCCCGGCCCCTCTCACAGCAGTGTCGGGCGACTGCAGAGAAGCATCTGCGGCTCTGCCCTGCTCACACCCTGGCTGGGAGGCCTCCCAAGGGCCTTGGAGGGAAGAAGCCTCATCTCAGAACAACCCTGTGGGCCCTGGGAAGTGGAAGTGGCCCTGGGACCCACAAAGGGTCAGTGAGAGACCCCGACAAGGAGCCAACCACTTAGGAGCTGAAAGAACAGTGGCAGGCAGATGTCAGCACCGAGGTGTGACCGTGCCAGCGCACGGGATGGGGGGTGTTCTTGTGGGGGGCAAGGGCCCGCTGGCCCAGGGCCGAGGTGTGACTGTGCCAGAGCACTGGGGGGGGGGTGTTCTTGTGGGGGGCAAGGGCCCGCTGGCCCAGGACCGAGGTGTGACCGTGCCAGCGCACGGGGTGGGGGGTGTTCTTGTGGGGGGCAAGGGCCCGCTGGCCCAGGACCGAGGTGTGACCGTGCCAGCGCATGGGGTGGGGGGTGTTCTTGTGGGGGGCAAGGGCCCACTGGCCCAGGACCGAGGTGTGACCGTGCCAGTGCACTGGGGGGGGGGTGTTCTTGTGGGGGGCAAGGGCCCACTGGCCCAGGACCGAGGTGTGACTGTGCCAGAGCACTGGGGGGGGGTGTTCTTGTGGGGGGCAAGGGCCCGCTGGCCCAGGACCGAGGTGTGACCGTGCCAGCGCACGGGGTGGAGGGTGTTCTTGTGGGGGGCAAGGGCCCACTGGCCCAGGACCGAGGTGTGACCGTGCCAGTGCACTGGGGGGGGGGTGTTCTTGTGGGGGGCAAGGGCCCACTGGCCCAGGGGCCACAGACTTGCCACGCGTGGGGGCAGCACAGCAGCCAAGAGCATCGGCCAGCGTGGCCCTGTTCATCGGCACCGGGATGCTGGGGTGCTTCTGATCGTGCGGACCCCTGGCTCTTGTTATTCTTTGTTTTTGTTATCAATATGATGAGTAATAAGTGAATAAATACAATTATCTTGTAAAACAATCAGATGTTACCATTCGGCCACACCCAGTCTGCTTCCTCGTCTCCTTTGCCCCCGAAATGCCCATGTGTCCCTGATGTTTTGGGCTCCACTGTGGTGAGGGCAGTGGCACCGTGAGGGGGCAGTACGGCAGGACAGAGGAGAGGGACGGGAGCTGGGCTCACCCCTCGGGGTCAGCACCGGTAGCTGGAGGGGGTGAGGCAGGGCAGGTGGGCCATGAGGAACATGGGGCAGTGTGACGGGGGCTGGAGGAAGCCCATGGAACCCAGGTGTGGTGTTAGTGCCCCCAGCGTCTGTACCCACAGGAGGGGGCCTCCTGGTCAGACTGCCTGGTGGCCTATGGTGCTGTCAACGGCTGAGTGCCCACAGGGACATGCTCGAGGGCAGGCCACCTCCAGGTGATCATCCCCCTGGTCTTGGAGCACACATCTGAGTGAGATGGGAAGAAAGCCACCTATGTCCCTGCCAGTCCAGGACCCAGAGGACGTCCTCAGTGCCCAGGAGCCCCTGGCTAGTCCTCTTCACAGAACCGTGCTTTGGATGTATCCAGCAGCTCTCTTGTTCCACGGCTTGGGGACGGGAAGTCTGGCGGCACAGTCTACTCCTTTGCCCCAGGATTGCTTCGTCCTGGGAAACCCAGCCCTTCCTCCAGAGCTGCCTTTGCAGGGTCTTCACGTCTGCCTGACTGGGGCCAAGGGGGGAGGTGGGGACAAGAGAGCCCAGGGTCTCCTGGGGACCTGCCTGCACCCTCTTCCCTCTGCTGTGGTTGCAACGGAGAGGGGCAGAGCCTCTCCCACACGCCTCTGTTGTTGTCTTGCACCCTCTAGTGGAAGAGAAGGTGAAGGAGCAACTGGAGGCCGCCAAGCCAGAGCCTGTCATCGAGGAAGTTGTGAGTGCCTGGGCTGGGTCATTCTCGCTGCTTCTGTGGGTCCTTTTCTCCGGCACCTGCTCTGCTTTCCCCTCCCTTCTCTTCCCTTCGTTTTTCACTTTTCACCTCCCTACTTCCCCTCACCCCCTCCTTCCTCCTTTTCTTGCTCCCATTTTTCTACCTCTGTCCCCTGTCCTCCTACTTCCCTTGGGGCCAGGCCCATCTGGCCCTGACATGTCTGCTTCCTCCCCAGGACCTGGCCAACCTCGCACCCCGGAAGCCTGATTGGTAAGTGTTGCCAAGGAGGACGAGTGCAGACTGACTGGGGTGGGCCCTGGGTGCCGGGCACCAGCCTCAGCCTGGGCTCTCCCTCCCTCAGTGGGAGGGACAGCAGAGAAGTGTGGCTGCACATTACCGTCCGAAGCAAGTGCAGAGGACAGAGATGGACCGTGAGAGGGACGTGGCAAGGTGACACCTTGGCGGGGGGTGGGGCGCAGGCAGAGTGGGGAGCAGCTTCACCCCAGAGAGCCCTTTTGAGCAAGGCAGACCTTTGCCCGCAGGGAGCTGCAGGGTGGAGGAAAGATGGTGGGAAGGGCAGGCGGAGGTTTCTATCCCAGTCTCCCCCCAACTACTGTGGTCCCTTCGGCCTCAGTTCCCGCTTTGAAATGAGGACTCTTGGCCTCCCCGGTACTCCTGTGCCTGGGCTGCGAGCGGGATGAGAGGGTCGTGTGGCCTGGGCCTTACCTTGGGCCAGGGTACGGGCCCCCTTCCTCTTGTCTGTAAGTCTGTGTCAAGCACAACACCAGAGACGGTATTTGAATTCGAAGGAATGGAAGTATGGGGCCTACGTCCTAGGGAACCCAGAGCCAGGGAGGTTGGGCCGTGTGCGCACTTCTGGAAGTTCGGTGGTGCAGTGAGCACTGGCTGGAGGAGGAGCAGGAGCCGCAGTGGGCTGAGCAGGCCACTCCTTGACAGCGACTGAGGAGCCAGACCGCGGGCCACCCTGAGAAACCCCCCGCCCTTGCACAGCTGGACCCAGTCCCTGTGTTGGGTGGGTCTGTGGGCTGGTCCCTGCCTCCCTGGGCCTGGGAAGGATGGCTGACGCTGGGTTTGGGAGGGTGCAGGAAGGGGGAGGAGCATCCTGCCTCCTTCCCAGGGCAGTCTCTTCATCAACAGAGTGTGATTCCCGATGCCTGCGGGCTGCAGGCAAGGCCCCCAAGGCCACACCAGACCAGCCTTCATCTTCTGTCCTTTTCCCACCTCCCTGCTGTAGGGACCTCAAGAGAGACGTAGCCAAGAAGCTGGAGAAACTGGAAAAGCGGACCCAGAGGGCCATTGCCGAGCTGATCCGTAAGTGCAGGGCCTGGCAAGGCGGGGTTCCTGCCCTCTGGGTGGCAGCCCAAGCACAGGGCCCCTCTTCACTCCTCCCGTCTGCTGTCCGTCAGGTGAGAGACTGAGAGGCCAAGAGGACAGCCTGGCCTCTGCAGTGGACGCCAGCACCGAACAGGAGGCCTGCGACTCTGACTGAGGCATGACTGTCCCCTCACCTGCCCTCAGGCCTGCCCTGGAGGAGGATGGTGTCAGACAGGGCGGGGCTGAGCTTGCCGTCACTTCCTGTTTGCCTCGCTGCCCCATCAGTCTCAGCCCCGCCATGGGTGAGGTCAGCTCCTTCTCCCGAGTGGTCCCCACCACCCTGAGTGGGGCAGAGCCAGCAGCAGTTCTGTGGGCTTGCTGGGCCTGCACACGTGTGTGTGTGTATGTATGTATGTATGTATATATTGTGACTTTTCTAATTTCTGGAAATAGAAACACTCCTGTGTGTGGCAGAAATCTATCAACTATATCCTGGGTCCTTGGGGTGCTGTAGGTTTGGGTCCCAAGATGGGGTGTCTGAAGAGGTGGCGCTTAGCAGGCGCAAGCGCTGTATGAGCTGACCTGCGGGGCTCAGTCTTCGGTCAGGGTGGTCACCTTGGAACCCTGAGTGACAGGGCTGAGAGTGCTCTTAGGTCTGCCCACAGGACCAGGGTTCTTGGACAGCCTGGAGAGGCTCCCCCCCGGGTCTGTGGGCCTCGCCGTGCAGGGAGGAGGAAGAGACTGGGCCCATGAAGGCAGTGAGCTGCGCCCCGCCAGCCTCAGCCCTGAGCGGCTGCACGTCCAGGCCCAGGCCCTGCTCTTCCTCACTCTGCCTGCTCGAGGCAGGCCCTGCTCCCCGTCCACCTGTCGGGCCGGGCCATGGCTTCCCTGGAAAGGGCCCCTGTGTGGCGGAGGGAGGCTCTTTCTGCTCGAGACTGTGGTGCAGGCTGGGTTTCAGGTACGGTCTTGGACCCTGGGCTCCCAAGGCCCTGAGCCGCCTCTGTGGAGTTGATTCCCCAGCGTGACTGGCCACATTCTGACTCCAGGTACCCGTGGCCAACTAGAAATTCATCTCTAGAATAACATTCTTGAATTTCCTCCAGGTTTCCCTTGAGCCTCCTGCCCCTGCCCCTGCCCTGCGTCATCCTAGTGCGTTCTTCCCCCTGTGCTGAGAGTCCAGGAGCTCTGGGACCTGGCTTGGCGGGTGGTGCTAGGACTGGGGCCATCGAGGTGGAATGAGTGTGCACAGAGACCAGCCCCGTGCGGCACGCTAGATGCTTCATGTCACCACCAGGCTGCCACTCTTACGACGGCAGTTCTTATGAAGAAAAGGGTCAGAAACTTGAGCTGCGAGTGAGGGCTGAGGGGGTGGATGTGGCTGTTGCACGAGCCGTGGGACAAGCCTGGGACCCTGACTCCCACAGGGACAGGGACCAGCATGCCTACAGGTGTCAGGACTGGAGCCAGGCTCCCTCTGCGCAGCGGGGGTCTGGGACCAGCCTTTCTGCCCTAGGAATAGGGATGAAAAGATGCCCGCACCTCCTGGAGGTGCAGCTGTGAGCAGCACGCCTGTGTGTCCGTGGCAGTGTAGAGCTCAGACCTGGTGACGGCGACTAGGCCCTGCTCCACACCGGCACCGGGACTAGAACAAGGCCAGCCCCACAGTGCGGGCCCAGAGAGCTGATGGAAGGTTTGCTTCTACGTGTGCAACCCCGTGTGCCCCAAAGAAAACTGCCCGGTCAGTGTTGCTCAGTGGTTAGAGCATCAGCCTACAGACCAATGAGTCGTGGGTTCGATTCCGGTCAAGGGCATGTACCACGGTTGCAGTTCGTCCCCAGCCCTGGTTGGGGTCATGTGGGAGGCAGCCAGTCAATGTGTCTCTTTCACACTGATGTTTCTCTCTCCCTCTCTTCCACTCTATCTGAGATAAATAGAAAAATATCCTCTGGTGAGGAGTAAAAGAAAAATAAAAACTGCAAAAACCATCATGCATGACGGGCATGCAAACAGAAATTACAAAACACGAGACAAAAATTCAATGCCTTAAAGAAGAACCAGCAACCCAACAAGTGGGAGAGGTTACACCCAAGGACACTGAAACAGTAACATCCTCACAGGCCTTAGCACAAGCTTTTGTTTTATTACCAGAGAGAGAAAAGGGGACCAACCCCTATAACTCATGAACAAGTATTAGGTACAAGAAAGAACTGATCAGAAACCTGGGAATTAGCCCTGGCATGTTTGGCTTAGTGGTTAGGGCATCAGCCCATGGACCAGAGAGACCCAGATCTGGTTCCCTTTAGGGGCACGTGCCTCAGTTGTGGTTTGTCCCCGGCCCCAGTTGGAGTTGTGTGGGTGGTGGCCAGTCGATGTGTCTCTCTCACATCGGTGTTTCGCTCTCTTCCTCCCCTTTCTCCCTCCCGCTCTGATTGAAGATAGATGCAAAAGTGTCCTCGAGTGAGGATAAAAAAAAAAAAATCTAGGAAGTGAACGTTTATTAAAATAAGAAACTCACTAGAAGAGTAAAACAAACTTACAGTCAAAGAGAAGATTGATACATGGAAGTTGAAGCTGATGATCCAAAGGCGGCAGGGAGAGAAAGTGGACGAGAACCTTTCGGACTTGCAGAGGTCCTTTGGCTGACGAGTTCGGGAAAAGGAAACCAGAGGAAGAAGGAATGGCTGCCACTTCTGTTGCTGGCATCATGGTAGACTAGTTGTCTGAACTGATCCTCTTTGCAACCAGCTAAAAGTACTAGCTAAGCCCAGCTGGTGTGTCTCAGTGGCTGAGTGTGGACCATGCACCAAGAGGTCGCCAGTTTGATTCCTGGTCAGGGCACATGTCCAGGTTTGGGCCCAATCCCCAGTGCGGGGCGTGCAGGAGGTGGCCAGTCAATGTTCTCTCATTGATGTTTCTCTCTCTCCCTCTCTAAAATCAATAAAGAAAATAATAAAATAAAAGCACTAGCTAAATAAATAATGATGATAAGTGAGTTTTGTTTTTGTTTTTTTTTTTTTAATCCTCACCAGAGGACATCTTTCTATTTTTTGTTCAGATAGAGTAGGAGGAAGAGAGAGAGAGAGAAACATCGACGTGAAAGGGACACATCGAGTGGCTGCCACCCGCACAACCAACCAGGGCCAGGGACAAACTGCAACCGAGGTACATGCCCTTAGCGGGAACCGATCCCGGGTCTCTGGACCGCAGGCCGATGCTCTAACCGCTGAGCCAAACCGGCCAGGGCGATAAGTGAGTTTTAAATGCATCAGTGACCTGGCAAAAAAGTAAGGAATGCTCAGGCAAAATGGTAAGAGAAGCAGTGTAATGCCAAAGCCTGACCTTTGTCTTGAAGGTATTTGACAAACAAGGTGAAATTGAACAATGGCTTTCGGGGTCCTCAATGCCTGGAGCCAAGACAACCCAATCCCTGTGCAAAATGGGCCTGGTAGGAGAGCCCTCCACAGAGCTGGGGCCCCAAAGGGCAGCATCCCAGAGGGACATTGACGCTGCCTCTTACTGGAGTGCATAAGGTTCTGCGCCCAGGGCTGAGCCCATTATGTGGGTTTGCACATGAGAAACCTCAAGCCAAGAATTTAAAGTCCCAGAGTGTGGTGACCTCAGATATTTGATAGGAGAAAATGTGGATCCTACCTGAATGAACCTTTATTCATCTTAGTTCTCAAAGAATCCCCACTGATCAAGTTCCAAGAAAAATGAGCATCTTAAAAAAAAGTCCCCCAGATACACTAGGCAACAAACCATCCAGAGCAAAGGGCAGGGAAAAGATCACACTTGCAAAGACTTCAGATGTTGGGGTTACCAGATAATTTTAACGTTTAAAAATGATTTAAGAACCAAAAGGGGCTTGAAAATAAAAAATCGATTTGCAAAAGAACCAAAGTGATGTTCTGGAAATTAAAATGATTACAGCATGGCCCTGGCCAGTTTGGCGCAGTGGTTGAAGCGTTGAACTGCGGACCAGAGAGTCCTGGGTTCGGTTCCCGCTAGGGGCACGTACCAAATAAGAGAAAAGGAAAAAAAGAAAATTATTACAGCATGAAAAACCTTGTATGTGTGAACTGGAGCTAAAGAGACAATTTGTGAGTGGGGAGCTAGATCCGAAGAGGTTATCCAGGGCGCAGCCCAGCGAGATAGACAGATGGACAACGGAGACAAGTGGTTAGGAGATGTGCATGATAGAGTAAGAAGACCCGTCATAACATGGTTGCGGTTCCGGGAGGGAGAAAAGGCACAGACGGAGCAAAGGTGAAACATTTTCTAAATGACAACTTTTCAGAATTGCCAATCAGAGTTGAGGTCAACAAATCTCAAGCAGGGGGAACAGAAATCTACATTCAAATATACTGCCTGTCTTATTTTCTTTATAATCAGGTGCTGATTTATTAAGTATATTCAGAGTATTTACTGAGGTATACACGTGAGATTTGTGCACCTAGTGTATGTTTATTGCTTAATCAAATTTGCTTAAGAGCCCTGGCCGGTTTGGCTCAGCGGTTAGAGCATTGACCTGCGGTCCAGAGAGACCCGGGTTCGGTACCCGCTAAGGGCACGTACCTCGGTTGCAGTTTATCCCCGGCCCTGGTTGGTCGTGTGGGTGGCAGCCACTCGATGTGTCCCTTTCATGTTGATGTTTCTCTCTCTCTCTTCCTCTCTCTCCCTCACACACTATCTGAACAAAAAAAATGAAAAAATGTCTTTGGGTGAGGATAAAAAAAACAAAAACAAATCTTGCCCTGGCCCACGTGGCTCCGTTGGTTGAGCGTCATCCTGTGCACAAAAGGGTCACTAGTTCAATTACCGGTCAAGGCACATACCCAGGGTTGCGAGTTCTGCTTCCTGTCAGGGTGCATGCAGGAGGAACCAATTGCTATTTCTCTCCCTCTCCCTTCATCTCTTTAAAATCAATAAAAACATGTTAAAAAAATTTATTTTTATTATCTGACCGTTTCTGTGGGTCCAGAATGTGGAGCAGCTTAGCTGGGTGGTTCTAGCTTGGGGTCTCGTGAGGTTGCACCAAGATTTCCTCCAGGGCAGCAGTCCCCGGGACGCTCCGTCACTGGCTTCCGTTCCCAGGGCTCAGCAGTGCAAGGACAGGGTACAAGTTCTCGCCACACGGACCTCCCCTGAGGTGTGCTTGGGTGTCCGCCTGCCACGGCAGCCGACTCTCACCAGAGCAAGTGACCCGAGAGAGCAGGGGAAGCTTCAAGGCCGTTCATGACCGGGTCTTGGAAGCGATTTTGCCACATTCTGTTTGTTAGAGGCCAGTCACCATGTCCAGCCCGCACCAGAGAAGTTAGCCCCACCTATGGAGGGGAGGTGCGCCTCGGAGTCTGTGGATGTTTCAGAGCTGCAACCCTAGACACCGTAATTTGGTAAAACACAAAGACCAAGAAAAGATCTGAAAATTAGGAAAGATACATTATCCCTGCCCATGTGGCTCAGTGGTTGAGCATCAGCCCATGTACCAAGAGGTCACTGGTTTGATTCCCAGTCAGGGCACATGCCCAGGTTGTGGGCCCGATCCCCAGTGGGGGGCATGCAGGAGGCGGCCAATCGATATTCTCGTCAATGCTCCTTTCCCTTTCCCTTTCTCTCTCTAAAGCCAATAAAGGAAAAAAAGATACATTGCCTTTCCAGGAGCGAGACCACAGCAGATGTCTCAGCCACAGGTAGTTAGCTGAAAGACACCTCCAGCATCACCGTGAACTGGACAAGAGGAAACTGTCATCCGAAAATTCTGTACTCAGAGAAGAGATCCTAAAAGTACAAGGTATTTTTAGACAAAACCAGATATTTTGTCACCAGCAGATAAAAAAATTATTTGTGGGTAATGAAAATATTTTAAAAATATGAGTATGCTACAAGCCATTGAACTGTACCCTTTAAATGGGTGAATTGGCCCTGGCCGGTTTGGCTCAGCGGTTAGAGTGTCGGCCTGCGGTCCGAAGAGACCCGGGTTCGGTTCCCGCTAAGGGCATGTACCTCGGTTGCAGTTTGTCCCCGGCCCTGGTTGGGTTGTGTGGGTGGCAACCACTCAATGTGTCCCTTTCACGTCGATGTTTCTCTCTCTCTCTCTTGCTTCCTCTCTCCCTCCCGCTCTATACGAATAAAAAATGGAACAATGTCCTTGGGTGAGGATAAAAAAAACATCTGGTATGATTCCTATCTATAATATTCTTGAAATGACAGCATTATAGAGACAGGGAACAGATTTGTGGCTGCCAAGGGTCGGGCATGGTGGGGCTCGTGTGACTGAAAAGGAGTAGCTCGAAGGAGGTCTTTGTGGTGCTGGAATAGCTGCCGGCCGCCGTGGCGCTCACTCGAGCCTCACACGGGAGCAAGTGGAATGAACTGCACACGCACCATTTCTGGTCTCACTGTACTGTGGTTACGGAGGACATGACTCCATCTGGGGAAGCCAAGTGAATGTCGCACAGGACTGCTCTGTACTCTTTAACTTTCTATGAATCCAAAGTAAAAAGTTTAAAAGAAAATGCTAAAACATGTTAATAAGTTGTGTAAATATTTTTTAAAGTATGCTTTCTATGTTTAAAAAGACAACAAGCTTTCTGGAATCTCATGGAAGAGTGGATGGGTGTAGTCTGAAGTTGGTCATAGTGAGTCCTGGCCTTGGTTAGAGGGACAGGCGGGGACTCTGACCCCAGCACCCTTTTGTCACAGGGCTGAGGAAACGGGCCAGGGAGGGGCAGTGCCCAGCTCTGTGGACGGAGCCCTAGTGTGCCCAGGGCTACCTG